TCTTCATAATGTGTGACCTTTCACAGTCTGGAATAGTTTTGAAGAAAATACAAATTTCAACAAATTTAGGGGTTTTCTGCACCTTGGAGCTGGTTACTACTATCCAGATCCAGAAGATCCCGTAAACTCTTCCATCTATGAATATCTTGTCAGCATGGACCTCAAGGGAATGATGCTAAAGAGCGTGGCAAATCAGGTGAGCGTTTTTCTACATTATGACTTCCCTATCGACAAAAAGAGTTTTTAGGCACTTGGCAAATTTGTTCTGAGCGACGTGGAATGCAATCGAGTACACGCGGCAAAACTCGCCGAGCTACATTCTTGAAGAATTTCTTCCAGAATCGCATGCATCAATACGTGTTTTTCCTCAGGTTCCAAATATCTGGAATAAAAGTATGATCAACACAAGCTGCACAGTTCTCAAGACAAATCATCCCGAGCTTGAACATATTGACTTATCTTATCTATCTCGACTATCTTTAAAACTTTTTATAGCAAAAGAGCTCCTTCTAAATTCTTACAAATGCTTTGGCTTTTGTAAGTTTTTCTTCTTCCTAAAGTTTTGAGCATTCAAAGTCAGTGGACTAAATTTAAAATTCTTCAATTCCCCTCTACTTGCAGTGAATCCACGAACAATCGTCGAAAGCAAATCCAAAAATATGCATAGCGATTGCGATGTTTTGTGCAACAGAATACTGCTCTGAGTGAAATTTTTGAAAATTTGACGGAGAAAATCTATCGCAAATTTGGGCGGTCGTTGTGATCTTTCTATGCCTTGTAAAAAACGTAAGCAAAAAGCGTTTGCAAACCTTCTGCACTATACAGCAAAGATAAACCTAGTATACTTAGTGGTGTGAAAACGGCAAGGTTTCCTCACTTTACAGTGAGGAAAAATTAAGAAATTTCAAGAATGCCTGATTCTTAGGCCCACCGAAATGCTCAAAATATGCATGAGTGCTTTCGAACTTTTTGCAATATTCCCCCCTAAAAAAAAATCCTTTGAATCTGAGTTTGGCACCACTGCATATTCGACCACTGGCTATACAATGAGCAGAGTGCGCATTATCCTAATCAATTTCAGGGTAAGTTGTGCGCTCTCAAACTTGAGGTTTCCAATAACTTTTTTTGACAATCTTCATGCTGGAAAATCTTTCTTGTTACGCTTGCAGTTCTACAAAAACGTTTTTCATATAGCCGAAGGTTTGCTCTTTATAATCGCTTTTACTGCGCTTCGAGGGAGCGTTTCGAAAAAGAGTTATTTTGATTCAAAGTCAAATCAAAGAAAACTTGCATTAATCATGAATCAACTCAATATTTTATAGCTTGTGAGCAGATCACAACGAAAAAGATTCTCACAAACTGCTATGATAGTTCCTCACATTGGCTCACCTACAATACACAGAAATAATCTCTTCGTTCTTACTATGTCGAATCACCGTCACCCATTCTATCATGAGGTGACATCCACATTAGCAAATGCAATTGATCCATCTCACAAATACAAAACTTACACCTAAGTTTTCACTGGATGCATCATAA